TGAGGAGGGATCTGTTGTCTCAGGCGGAGGGCACAATCTTCCACCCTCAACCAGAGCTGTGGAAGCTGTGGGTCTGGCCTCTGAGGGGGTTCAGTACCTAAATGCTGGTCTATCGGCGGGAGTGGTTGAAACCATACTTAGCTCTAGGGCTCCGTCTACTAGGAGATTATATGGCCTCAAGTGGAATGTGTTTGTCACTTGGTGTAGAGAACATGAGTTAGATCCAGTAAACTGCCCGGTGGCTTCAGTTCTGGAATTTCTTCAAGATCGTTTCTCTGCGGGTCTCTCCCCTTCCACGCTTAAGGTGTACGTGGCTGCTATTGCGGCTTTCCACGCACCATTAAGTGATGGGCCTCTGGGGAGGCACCAGTTGGTCATACGTTTTCTCCGTGGTACTTGGAGGATGAGACCGGCAACCAGGTCCAGGGTTCCGGCCTTGGACCTGGCGGTGGTTCTCGAAGGGCTATCCCTGGCTCCCTTTGAACCCCTGCAGTCGGCTTCGCCTCGGGATCTTACGCTGAAAATGGTATTTCTCTTAGCTATAACCTCTCTTAAGAGGGTGGGAGATCTCCAAGCCCTGGCAGTGACACCAGCTTGCTTGGAGTTTTCCCCTGGCAGAGTTAAAGCCTTTTTGCACCCGAGTCCGGGCTACGTGCCTAAGGTTCCGACGAATACGGCTCGGTCCACGGTCCTTCAGGCATTCCGTCCTCCACCTCATGTGTCGGCAGAAGAAGAGAAGCTTCATTTGCTCTGCCCCGTCAGAGCTTTGAGCGTGTACCTCGAGAGGTCCTCTTCTTGGAGGAAGTCGGACCAATTATTGGTGTGTTTCGGGTCACCTAAGAAGGGGCTCCCGGCATCCAAGCAAACTATTAGTAATTGGATTGTTCAGGCTATTACCTCGGCTTACAAGGTGCGCGACTTGCCTTCACCTTTAGCTGTTAGGGCTCATTCGACTAGAGGCATGGCTTCCTCTAGGGCCCTCCTTTCGGGAGTGCCCCTCCAGGAGATCTGTGAGGCAGCCGGCTGGGCTACCCCGCACACTTTTATTAGGTTCTACAGTTTACACCTCCCTAGTACACCTGGCGCACACGTGCTTTCGTCCTAGTTGAGTGCCTGAATCAGTTTCACTCCGGGGCAGGCCTATTTGGTGCGTGGCCTAGTGGGCATTCGTTCCCCAAAGTGTCGATTCTCGACGCAGTGTAGAGTTCCCTCGAAAGGGAAAGTCTCGGGTTATGACTATAACCCTTGTTCCCTGAGAAGGGAACGAGACACTGCGTCGTTCTGCCACGCCCCTTGAGGCCTTAGAGCGTCTTGCTTCATCGCGAGGCTGGTATGTGTGTGCGTCAATGCCACTTTTATACTTCCGATTATGCCGTCGCATGTTACGTCAGGACGCAACGCCAATCAGGATTGGATTAGTTTCATTTTTACTTCAGAGGCGCACGCTAAGGGAGCGTCCCCATAGTGTCGATTCTCGACGCAGTGTCTCGTTCCCTTCTCAGGGAACAAGGGTTATAGTCATAACCCGAGACGTTTTGCGGATCTCCCAGTTCTTGGCTCATTTTGAGTCACTCTGCCAGATCATTGAAAATTATTGGCTAAGTTTGAATATTTGCATACAGTATTATAAGACAGAAGTCATGAACTACTGTACAATTCTGTTTAATTTTATTTTCCGAGACCTTTAGTTTCTGGACTACAGGCTAATAAGTGTTTTATTTTCCTGCTAATGATGTCTGTTTATTAACGGTTTCATTTCTCATTTCTTCAGATACAGGACAAATATTAAAGTACTTTGCAGTAATCATGGCTTTCCTGCTGACCCATGAATGTGTTGGGCAAACAACTGATTTCCCAAAAACAAGTATAGATTTCCAGGTAGGGGACATTTTATTTACCGCAGAAACATAAATAAGTAAAATTCATATAATATGAAAACCAACAGATTGCTGTCATTTTCAGAACTTTCAATCATTTGCATTCTCAATAAAATGTTTTGTACACATTAAACGCAAATTTTAAATATATACACTCAGGTTTTTATCGTATTACTATAAACAGAGTACAGAGCCATGATCACATGATTAAATGACAAAATTCTATATGCAATGTAAATGTATTTTTGTGTTATTTTATTATAGTTTTATTCCAGTGACATAGAACAACAACTCCATAATATACGCACAGGTCTGATTCATGGTTTTGACCTCTACTAATACGTTATTTATATAAAAATGAAAGGGTTAGTTCACCCCAAAATTAAAAATCTGTACTTAAACACTGCTTTATTGTTAATAGAATTAATTATATAAATGGATATATTGTAATTAAAAATACAAAGTATTGCAAAAGTACATTGAAATGACTCATGTAATGTATAAACACTGAGCTTGCAATGATTGTAAGCTTGTTGATTCTGCCACAGAACTTACTTTCACAGACTTCTTGTCTGAAATTGAGATTGAATCATCAAGCATCTCTGTGATCGATGAGATGAGGAGATATTTTCAGAACATGACCTTTCCACTTCAGTTAGATGAGCGGGTTGAAGTATTAGATGTGGACATCACGACAGGTGAAGAACATCACATGACCTTCATGAGCTTCTGAACACAAACACAGCAGTTCTGATCTGTTAAAAATGACCTTACGTTTATGTTTTATCCTTTCTTAGTGTGCAGTTTTAATGACAGTGGATACCATTGCGTATGTGAGGATCAGTATTTCTGGCCGTGTGAAAAGTGCACAGAATATGGGAGCTGTGATGACATCACTAACAACACATGCAGCTGCATCAATGATATTCCAAGTGACAGACAGTTCTGTCAACCAGTCAATGAGATAACAAGTAAAATTGTTTTATACATTTCTGTTTGTGATCATAGAAAAATACCTGTGGGTCAGTTACTGTTACATGAACTGTATACAAATTATTTCTAATCCATTCTCATCCTTTTCCCAAAAGATAACACAGCATGTGCGCAACCAACAGGTACATAAAACATCTGACTAAAGGGTATAGTTCACACAAAAGTGAAAAATCTGTCATCCTTTACATCGTTTTAAACCTGTATGACTTTCTTTCTTCTGTGGGACATAAGGGAAGATATTTTGGTGGTTGGTAACCAAACCGTTTTGGTTCCCATTGACTTCCATTGTATGAAAAAAAAAAAAAAACGATGCCATTTTTCAAAATATATGTTGTGTTCCCCAGAAAATCATATCCAGGTTTGAAACAACATGAGAATAAACGATGGGAGAATAAATAAATGAAGGGAGATTAAATCATTTTTTTTTATCATTTTGGTGAACTATCCCTTGGTGAAATCCTGAAGTCTAACTGCAGTAATTTTATATATATTTAAAGACGAGTGAATATTCCTAATTCTTTTTATATTTACTACAGTGACTCCAGATCTGATTGAATATCAAACTGAAATTCAAATAGATGCCGAGAACACTGCCAGCATTGATCAGCTGATGAATTATTGGATGTTTTTTGATTTTCCCTACACAATCAGTGACAGCACTAACATCACAGAAATCAACATAACTACTGGTATGATCTCTCTCTGCTTTGACTTGGACTTATACATCATGAATACTGCTATAAATGAATGATGTCTTTTTTGATTCTGCTTTCTAGTGTGTTCTTTGAATGAAACACAATATCGGTGTAAATGTGAGGGTCTGTTTGTTTGGCCAAATGATACGTGTCACTCGTACGAGGCCTGTGATGACATCATTGATGGTTCATGTACATGTATCAATGCCCTTCCAGTCGATGGACAGTTCTGCCAGTTAAAAGAAGGTAAGCCCATAAACTGAACTGTTAATATGGACTGTTAATATAAAAAAAAAACTAAAATTTGATTTTCATGTTACTCTATTATATGTAACCAGTGCTGTTTTTAGATAAAAAAAACTAGATGTTTATGTGCACCATTAGTCCAAACAATATTACTAAAATAAATAGCAAATATGTTTTTAGTAACATTATGAAATTTTTAAGTGTTTCCTACTTTGGATAAAATATTCTAAATAAAATATTAGATTGTAAGGTTAAGCAATTAATGAGTTGACCTCCACATTCTGTATGAGGAAAGAGAAAACCTAAAGAGGAAACTGATTTTTTGTTTTGCCTGTAATTTTCTTTTAATAAAGATGTGGATGGATGTGTTGAGAGATCAGAGGTCTGCGGTCCAAACTCAATCTGCAACAACACTGTTGGGAGTCACAATTGCTTGTGCAAGAGTGGATATAATGTAACAGACCCAAACCTCCCTATAAACAGCAATAACACATGCAAGGGTATGATTGACAGCTGAAGCACTTAGTGCTAATAAATTCATGACAAAGAAAATGAGTATTGGGAGAGAAATATTTTTTTCTATTATTATTTACAAAATCTGAGATGTTGCTTAAAACTGTAAATGTTTTATTGTGGAAGTCTGTTGTGTAAGGATTCACAAAAAAACTCCCCACATTTCCCCAATAATTATTTTCATCGCAGTGCATGTTATTGTTTTCATCACACAGGAGTTATGCAAGTGTTTTGGACATACATAAGCCAGAATTCTTTTAAAATTCTTTCTCAGTTCTTGTTAACCTTATATAGATACAGATGTCTTTAATATTTTTGGTATTTATATCTGTATGTTATACATTAACTTTGTGTTTTTTTTTTCCACTCTAGATATAGATGAATGTCTGGTCAGTCTATCTGTATGTGGTCCAGATTCCAACTGCACTAATGAAATAGGAAGTTACAATTGCTCATGTCTGGATGGATTCACTGTAACAAACTCAAGTCTCACCATCAGCATCAATAACACATGCAGAGGTACAGTTTAGATTTGTGTTTAGTATAACCTTACATAATTATCTAGAATTTATCCATTGAATATTTACATTGAATTTTGTAAATGAAGCATTGTATTGTAAAGATGACAAGGAATGAGATTAAACTGACCCAAACTGTTCTTTTTCCCATAACTTCCTTTTAATAAAGATGTGGATGAATGTGTTGAGAGATCAGAGGTCTGCGGTCCAAACTCAATCTGCTACAACACTGTTGGGAGTTACAATTGCTCATGCATGAGTGGATATAATGTAACAGACCCAAACCTCCCTATAAACAGCAATAACACATGCAAAGGTATGATTGACAGATGAAGCACTTAGTGCTAATAAATTCATGACAAAGGAAACGGTTATTGGGAAGCTAATAACTTTTTTATTATCATTTTGTTTATCTTTTTTACAAATAAAGTGTTAACAGGAACATCACCAATGTATTCTAAAACACAATCTGAGATGTTGCTTAATAAAACTGTGAATGTTTTATTGTGGAAGTCTGTTGTGCAGGGGCGGACTGGCCATCTGTGTGATCTGGAGTATCACAGAACGGCCGGTTCTCCAGGACGGCCGGCGGGCCGGCCCACCACCCGCCACACACGCAGTCATAACCTGTTTTTCCCCCCACTAATCTGTTTCACACTCCAGTACTGTAGGTGGCAGCAATGCACCTTTAAGTTGGATGCCAGCGCGGAGCATTATCAGCTCGGCCCAAAAAAACGGTCGAATCGCGGCCGAAGCAGCTGTGCGGACTGATCTCGATCACGCGAACATTATTACACAGAGTTGCGCGATCCACTGAGAAGCATTTCAATTCAGCGCAGAATTCTCTATCTCTATTATAAACCCACAGATGGCTGTGATTTAAGCTAGTTAAAAGCCAGATTAAACAGCGCTGATATTCTCAACATCTTGACGCAAAAAAACAGGTGAAACATTGTTCCAAGAACAAACCAGTTAGAAGACATTTCACTCCACAACTTATGAATTAACTGTAACTTAGTAAAACAAACTTTTTTGGCAGAAATGTGCCTGTATTCATATTAAAAATGCTGTTATATTAATAGTCATGTAGGCCTATAAATGTAGGCTATTAAATGTAATGCAGTAATGTTTTTGTTTAGAAGTTATGGCAGTTTATTTATTTATTTTGCATTAAATATTTATACTAAATGTTTATGCTACAATAGGTTTTTAGAGAATAATATTACAATTTTTCACCAATTGTTGAACCAGAATATCAAGATATTTTATTATTTCGCATATGATGGTGAAAAATAAAAAAGTTAAAGTTAAAAGTAAAGGTAAGGTAAAGGTAAGGTAAAAAAACACCACCATGTTATATGTATAATAAATATTTTTGAGTATAGACCTTCTAGATTATTTTATCCCTTGAGGTAGCCCTCACACACAAAAAGGTTGGAGCCCCCTGGTATATAGTAACTAAATGTTTTATAATTACAAGTTTGTGTAATTAGGGTTTCTGTAGCCAGTGACATTTCATTATTTGTATTTTATTTTCAATGCAGATGTAATGGCATTGTACATTTTTTGTTTTTATTTGAAGACTGAGGCTTCATTAATAAACAAAACCCCAATTGTCATCATTGTTTTTGAGATATTACTTGCTGTGAATACCTTGTCTGATATAGGTTACAGTATTGTGGCATAGTATCAGGACATCCTAGTGGCTAGGGGCAAATGGCTGGATGATGGGCCTATTTGGGAGAAAGTCCAGGGCTGTTTTTTAGCCCCAGTCCGTCCCTGCTGTTGTGTGAAGATTGACAAAACAACTCCCAACATTTCTCTAATAATTATTTTCATCTCAGACATTTAATGTTATTGTTTTCATCACACAGGAGTTATGCGAGTGTTTTGGACATACATAAGCCAGAAATCTTTTAAAATTCTTTCTCAGTTCTTGTTAACCTCGTATAGATACAGATGTCTTTCATGTTTTATGTACTTATATCTTTATGTTATACATTTACTTCGTTTTTTTGTTTTCCACTCTAGATATAGATGAATGTCTGTTAAGTCCATCTGTATGTGGTCCAGATTCCAACTGCACAAATGAAATAGGAAGTTACAATTGCTCATGTTTGGATGGATTCACTGTAACAAACTCAAGTCTCACCATCAGCATCAATAACACATGTACAGGTAATATTCATATTTTCTTACTCCAGCCATGGTTCAAATTTTAGTTTTCATCCATGTGATTTTTAATTTGGAAAATAATTTTGGTAAATTAAACATTCTGTTGTAAAGATGCCATAGAATGAACTGACGTTCACATATGGAGTCACAATTACTCGTGCAAGAGTGATACAATGTAACAGACCCAAACCTCCCTATAAACAACAATGACACATGCAAAGGAATGATTGACAGCTAATGCTGCATAATATGAAATCATAAAAAAAAGGAGTAAGGAGAGGCTCATAATTAATATTAATATCATTAAAATGATATTGGTATTTTTATATTTATGTCTGTTGTGAGACAGTGTGACCAGTTGTGTCTTCGGGGATGTGATTTTTCCATGTTTGTATGACCTTTGTGAATTGCGTAAATCCGGTGGTTGTTTGGTTGCGAGCATTTTTTACAGTCTATGGTTGCGAGGGATGACCGATCCCTGTAAGATGATTGAAACAGCGCTGAACGAGCTCACAAGGCATCTGCGGGACACCCGTAGCATTTTACCTAAATCGCCAAATGCAAGTAAAATTTACTTGAAACTGTGTTATTCGTCAGTTGCCTATAGTAACCTTTTTTAAAGAATCATGTTTGTAAGAATGTGATATGGCTCAGTGCGTTCATCAAATTGCAACGGTTGTGTTCATTTCCAGTTTTGATTAACAGTAAATGCTACTCTGCAAGTGCTGTGAGTTTGAGTCGCTTATAATTTACATTTGGGAATGCAACGTGCTTCCCAAATTCGTAACGAGAATCTTTTATAAATCTGTTGTTAACCAAAACAAGGTTATCTCCCTGCGGTTTTCCGCCAAAATAAAAGCTCAATGGTTTAACATTTGTAAGCAAAGAAATTAAGATAATCATAAATGTTAGTATTGTAATTATTGTAATTGTAATTGATAACATAACAATATTGCTGGTCATAAATGGAGAAAGTGCGCGTCCGATGTGCGATACGTCGAGTTGTCCTATAGACGCGAGTCACGACGCGAGTCGCGACGCGGCGCTGCGCTTCTCGTCCTGTGTGCGACCCCTGTCCTGTAATGAAGAAAACAAAGAAAGCTAATAGCGGGCGGCGGGCTGAAAGCAAGATGGCCAGAGCCGGATGAATAAGTCCACAGATTGGTGCTTTAACAACAAATAAATAAATGCGCTTCTTCATGACGCATTTTTTGACTGATGCGACTTATACTCTGAGCGACTTATAGTACGAAAAATACGGTTGTTGTTTAGGAAGAGACAATATAGGCAGTCAAATAAACATTTAATTCCTTAGTGCACCTTTAGCTCTATATTTTTTAACATTTGATTATTGGTGTCATATTTTCAAGAAATAAATTACATTGTACAATTATTTTTATTTCTTCATTTTTTTTTAGCAACAACAGCAACAACACCAGGTATGTACTGTAAAGACCTGATAGCCTACCACTATGTTTTTGATGACACATGCATAAAGTAATACAACCTTTTTACAGTTATTAGAATGTCAATTGAATTATTTTCCATACCAGAGCATGTTTTTTTTTTATCACAGAGGAGCTGTGCAAGTTTTTTTCAAATGACTTATGTCAGCCAGATAAATGATTAATGCATTATTAATTTAACTACAAACCGTGCTACAATTACAGCACCCACTACAACTACAACTTCTATAACTACGAACCCTACTATAACTACAGCACCCAATACAACTACAACTTATATAACTACGAACCCTACATGACGCCTTGGGAATCATTTTGACCATGCTTCAATATTCGACGCTTTAGGCACCCTTTAGCGTCAGTTACATGACGCGATCCTAGGGCGTCATCTTACTGACGCTTTACCTTTAACGTCAGTTAGACGACGCTATCTAATCCTAACCCTACCCCAGACCTAAACCTACCCGCGTCATCTAACTGACGCTTAGGTAAAGCGTCAGTAAGATGACGCCCGGATCGCGTCATGTAACTGACGCTAAAGGGTGCCTAAAGCGTCGAATATTGAAGCATGGTCAAAATTGTCATTTTAGTGACGCCTTGGGGTGAGAATGCGTATACAGCACCCAATACAACTACAACTTCTATAACTACGAACCCTACTACAACAACTACAGCACCCACTACAACTACAATTTATATAACTACAAAATCTACTACAAATACTACAGCAACGCCTATAATTGTAACACCCGATTTAATAGTTAGACCTATTACAACACCAGTTATGTTCTGAAAAGAAGAATGAAAAAATTTATGTTATTTTTTTTTATCTGTTCAGGGAAACAAATTGTAGACACAACCAAGTGTGTGTATGTGTATGTTGTGTGTCTGTGTGTGTGTGTGTGTGTGTGTGTGTGTGCGTGTGCGTGTGTGCGCTTCTCACTCTACTTTATGTGCACACTGTTATATTTTTTATGTGAATTCAGAAAATCATAGACAATATGTAATATTCGGTCTATAATTATTGTTTGTTTGTTTGTTTTATTTTGCTGAAATATTCTAAACTGATGACAGCACCAGAAGGTATATACAGCAAAATGAGAGAAAAAAAAATTGAAATTCTATTATAATTACTATATTTTTGTTAATTGTTCCATAAAGCTATTTATACAACAAATGTATTCATCTGTTTCATTCACGTGACTTTTTTAGTTCATCTGCCATATTTTTGAACATCAACAGGGCAAAATAATGACAGTGAATACAAAAACACATGAACAGAGATGCTAATTATCAATTGATTTTATCTATACCAGGTCACAGGTATACAGAGATGCTTGGTTCTTTGCTCATGTGTTTTTGAATCCACCACCATTACTTTGTCCTGCTGATGGTCATAAATGCGGTGGGTGAACGGAAAAAGTGACAGAAAAAGATGAATAAATGCACTTTTTTTGTCTTGTTTAGTCTCGTTTACAGTTAAAATGTTAATGAAATTAGATGAAACTTTTGATACCAGTTTCAACTACCCCAATGCGGAGAAGTACCAACGCTATGCTCGTGAAATTAAGTCAGTGGTGAGTGTTTCATATTTTGTGTAGAAAATGTATTGAGTGTTTATGCTTAAAAAAACGAACAACAACAGTTAGGGGAGACGTTGATGTATCCATCTCCAAACCCAGAGTCACGACTTTTTTGTTTCTCAAAAATGATAACCATAAAGCGAGAAGCAAATAATAAAGTGTAATTAAAATATAATACAAATTACCTCAGGAAATGGGGGCCCAAAAAATAACAAACAAAATAATCTGCTAACTAATTGAAGAAGAAAGCTAACTTGCCTAATAAAAGTAAACACCCAAAAGAAAAACAATCCACCTTTCTCCCTTGTCTATCCACAAAACAAGAGAAAAGGTTTAAAAGAAACAAGGGACACCCCACTCCTTACAAATACCCTTAAAGGGATACTCCACCCAAAAATGAAAATTCTGTCATCATTTACTCACCCTCAAGTTGTTGCAAACCTGTATGAGATTCTTTCTTCTGCTGAACACAAAGGAAGATATTTTGAAGAACGATTGGAACTTTGGCACCATTTACATTTTCTACTATGGAAGTCAATGGTGCCAAACAACTGTTTGGTTCCAATCGTTCTTCAAAATATCTTCCTTTGTGTTCAGCAGAAGAAAGAAACTCATACAGGTTTGCAACAACTTGAGGGTGAGTAAATTATGACAGAATTTTCATTTTTGGGTGGAGTATCCCTTTAACACTTATTTTCACTACATTGTTTGTTTGATTAACGCACAATTTACACACCAAGTGTGTCTGGTAATGGAGATATAAGGGAAACTCAAGCTAAACGAATCGTCTCCCCTCTCTTTGCTTCTCGGTTGATTGTGTACTGCTTATATATTGACACTTCTCCACTATGAGCCAATTGGATAACTCAAAGCGCCTGGTAATCAGCAAGAGTTGTCAGCAATCTGCACAGACAAAAACAAGCAAACACCAGAACGCAGAAACACATAAAAAAAAACATACGTCACATGACGTAACACATTATATACATAAATAACTATCCAGATAACATGAAGATATCTGTCTAATGACAGGAGAGGAGCCCAAAGAATGATCATTTTCTGTATGGTCATTAGTCTCTATATATCTCTAGTTCTTGCCACAGAGTAATTTCATATTAGACAGCATACTTTAATTTCAATTTTATCAGAGGCACAGTAGGTACACTTCCTAATGTACAGTGGTTACTCTTACTTTGTACAGATTGAAGAAAATTACAAAACTGTGTCTACCTTCAAAGCTCCAGTAAGGGTCACTGGTTTCAGGTAAGGTCTACAATCTAAACTTTGACTCAAAAGGTCCATTTTGGTTTTTACTGCTTGTGTTTATACAGTCTTCTCATTGTTGTGGTTTGTGTGTTGCTCCAAAGGCCTGGTAGCATTATAGTAGACTATGAAATATTTTCAACAAGCAACAACCCAGCTAATTTTGTAGATGCAAACAGTAAGGTTGCCAAAAATCTCCAATCCATTGGATATAATGTAGCTGTGGATCATTTTGCTGAAAGTGGTAAGGTAGTCAGTATATAATCTGGAAAAAAAGAATTTTTTTTTAGTTCTACCATTTTTATATTTTTTATAAGCATGATTATTGCTACTTACCTTTAATAAAAATGAGAAAGATGAAAAAAAAAAAGGTTTATGGATTTTACTTTCAGAAAAAACAAACTTTTCCCTTACAAAACGATATCCTGAGCAAGATATGACACTGGTATGTAAACACCCAGTTTCTGTTAATGGTAACATGAGTTGGACAGTGAATGAACAAGTTATACAACAGAACGGAAAATACTCCATTTCACAAGATCGTAGCAGTCTCACTGTGAAAAAAGTTGATGAGAAAGACAAAGGTGAGTCACATGTATCTTTTTCCTATCAATAATATCTTACATGTTGACTGTTCATAGGTCAAGATTAAAGCTATGTGTCAATTGTGCGTATGTGTTATCTGGCCTAAAGCTGTGGAACAGTCTACCTTTATTTATTAGGTCTGGTTCCACTATACTTGGGTGTAAGTCAAAGCTTGAGACATGCAGTATTTGTTTGCTCTGGCATGATCAACTCTGTACTTTGTGTTCATTCAAAAATTAAAAGTTATTTCCTTCCATGAAGCACGAAATAAGAAATAATTGGCTGCTCTTTTCCATACAGTGAAAGTGACCAGGAATCTGGGCTATCAGACTACAAAATGACTAAAGACAAAAAAAAACAAAAAAAGTATCATAGACTCTTCAATCATGACAATGTCACATTGTGGTGTCAAATATTGTGGTGGTCTACCGATATTTGGCTTTTTTTTTTTTTCAGTATCAGCCAGTATAGTTAGCATTACTTCATCTTTATCTGATAAAATGCTATCCATATTTGTGCACATACATTTTATCCACTATTGGTTAGTTTTCGTTTTTTTTATTTGTTTTTTAAATTATTTGTTTAAAATACTTTATAGCAGAATCAGAAAATTGCTATCTAAACTATACATATTTGTTCACAATGGTGAACATCAGCAGGGCATTTGATTCATGGAGGATAATAAAACAATCTAACAATGTCAATCTGCGTTGCAAAGAAGTCAATTTATTGGAATATTACAATGACTTCGACTTTTTAAAAATGGAATCACCTGTATCACAAAGGTGTTATCGTAGTTTTAAACGTAGTTAGTCTGATTTTCCATCGCTATATGCCCACAGTATTTTTTGAAATGTGGTTTAAATATATCCACTAAATAGTTTAATTAATTCTATTCAGTTTCTATTCCATTCAATTTCCCCTAATAGGTCATATACGTCCACGTCCGCCCTCCCGAATTGATCCCAAATCGTACGCACCGATCCGGGGTGAAGCCTCCGCTCTCCTTGAGGAATCCCATTCCTCAAATTTTTAAGCGCATCCAAAGCATAACTAATGTCAGTTTTAGCTGGTATAGAAAAAATGTTGTATTCTGTATTGTGCATTGATCTAAAACCCGACTGAAAAGTATTTAAAATATTGGACATACTGATATAGGAATTCAACTGACAGTACACAACTCTTTCTAAGAGCTTTGAAATAAAAGGTAATTTGTAGATGGGTCTGAAATTACTACGGATAGATGGGTCAAGATGAGGTTTCTTAAGCAGAGGGAAATATGTACAAATATATACATATCCAGACTGATTTGTGGTCTGGTCTGGAGTCTATAGTTGACAAAAATCAGAGCTTTTAGCTTCAGACTTTTGATCATCCAGTCACACTGATTTTAGAACACATTATTTTCATTGGTTGTGTGTCTACTATAGCAACAAGGAACATGTTTCTGCAATATTTCGTTATTTATTTATTTTTACTTGCAGGTAGATACGCATGTATCATTAAAAGGGAAATAAATTACATTCTGTGGGAAGATATAGTTATTGAACCACTTCCCAATATCCAAGTGGGTCAAAACAAAAGACAGTTTCAGTGTAAGGATCAGACTGTGGAACTGACATGCTGCGATGCAAAATATGCTGTGGAGTGGGATACTCGTGAAGATCAAGAGACATCTCCAGGTTGTACTTACAGACAGACAATATATTCTTACAAAAGTTACTAATTTCAGTTGCAAGTGGCAAGTTTTATTGAATTCACCATGGTGAATATGTTTTATTATTTTTTTCCCCAATGATTCTATTTACCCTTTATGGAATTAGACGAGAGATGCGCCACACTAAAACATCGAATCAATTGCACAGATAATGATCCTGAAGAATTGACATGCCGACTCAAGATCCCGGAACTTCGAGGCTTCTCTTATGGCCAGAGCAATGTCACAATTGAGAAAGTCGCTGATGGTAAACCTTCAGTTTTTCATAATTTGATGCAGCTGAATGTCCTTTTATCTGTTCAGCTGTCTAAAAGAAATAATTGTTTTTCTGAAACTCAATAAAATATTTTCTCCAGTATTGACCTGTAATAATAAAACACTTGGAGATGGAAAAGAAGGTGCCATTTTGCTAGGACCCTGTGAAAAAGGCAAAGAAGGCAATATAACTTATCTATGTAAATCAACTGAATGGAAGGAGACTGCCAGGAACTGTACACTTCAAGTTATCATAGAAATTGAAAAGAAAGTTGAGGTAATCTTCAACATCTACGTATTAATGAAAAAATAAATCAACTGTCCATTTAAAATATTTCTGATATTTACATTTCTTCTTTTCTTTAATTAGAATTTGGTTCCAAAGGACATACCAGTGGTTATTAGTGAGCTTAGTACTGCTACAGTGGGCAATAAACAAGAGATAACACAGTCTCCTGCGACTGTCCAAAGAATTGTTGACATACTTGTAAAAATTGCTAATATCTCACAATCCATTTTCATCAATGAGCCTGTGATGAAGGTATGTACATTATTTATGCATGAAATACATCCGTCAAACTGTGGCTAGTCACTGTAACTTTAACTTTTAAAAAATACTTTTTGTTAACACTTTCTATGAAGACCATGCTTATAATGAATTATAGCTCCATTTATACTTAAGTATTACTCTTCTATAAATATATTTATAAAGACTCATTAAGACCTATACTGCATTATAAGAACAGTAATAGTTACATTTATATTATTTTTATAATTACTTATAAGTCTTGCATTTGCTTTTTCAATGTGCATGCTCATAATCAATAATACACTGATTTATAAATTATCAATAAAAGAGTTCCAGAGACCCTTGTTTGCTGTACCAATGAGTTAATTATCTTTAATGCCTAATGTTTGCATTAGAGATCATGAATGGTAATTTTGATTTGTTAAAATCTATATCTCCTCAAATAAACAACTTAAAAGGTATGATGGGCACATCTTCATGATTTCCTAACATTTGCATCCTATGTTTTCACTTTACTTAAAGCCATCAATGATGCATTTATAGAGGTTATTAATGGTATTATCAATGGTATTATTAATAACAATAATACTTATTGTGTATTATCAAACACAATAAGTATTTATAAGAACACAACACGGCTATTAATAACAATATATTCATCACTTATTTGACAGAATTTGTAACTGTAATATAGAACATGATAGCAATGCAGGTTGCATCTTTATAAATGCATTCAGGGAACCATACGACTGACTAATTAATAAATAAATAACTTATAAATCAGTGTATAATGGATTATGAGCATGCACAGCGAAAAAGTAATGCATGACTTATTATTATAAAAATAATATAAATGTAACTATAACTGTTCTTATAATGCAGTATAGGTCTTAATGAGTCTTTATAAATACATTTATAAAATAGTAATACTTATAAATAAGTATAAATGGAGCTATAATTCATTATAAGCATGGTCTTCATAGAAAGTGTTACCAACTTTTTTTTAATCACAATATAATATTTGTACATTATCTTCGATATCCCATCTGATGAAAAATGATTTCTACAAAACATTATTTTCAATTTGATTTCCAGGATTTCCTTACGGCAGTGAATGTCCTTGTTTTAAATGAAAGCAGTTCATCATGGAAAAAATTGAACACATCAAACACCAGCGTTGCACTTCTGAGTGCTATTGAGAATATAAGTGACCGTCTCACAGATGCCAATTTTACAATAATTGAAAAATCTATTGAGTTGAATAAAATCGTAACAAACTCAAACTCAAGCTCCTCATATAGGATAATATCAAGCCTGCAAAACTCAACTACTGAGATTCTGATACCACAGATTCCTGTATCCACATCCATAACCATCATAATCTTCACAACTCTTGATAATGTCCTACCTACTCGTAATACTAGCAATAACAATGACACTAATAATAACGTGCGCATCAATGGAGATGTGGTTGTTGTTAAGGTGAACCAAACGGTTAACAACATTTCTTTTGTATTTGATATTACTGATCAGTCTTTGGGAAATCCTCAATGTGTCTTTTGGAACTTCAGTCTTGACGCATGGGATTCCAGTGGATGTGAAGTAAAGCCCTCAGGGAACAAACTTGGCAATATTACATGTGAATGCAACCACACAACCTCTTTTTCAATCCTGATGTCCCCATTTCCTGATGAAAGTGATTTCTTGGCTTACATAACATACATTGGTGTTGCTATTTCAATGGCCAGCTTGATTTTGTGCCTCATTATTGAGATTATTGTGTGGAAGTCAATAACAAGAAATGACACATCCTACATGCGACATGTGTCCATAGTCAACATTGCCGTGTCCCTGCTGATCGCAAACATCTGTTTTATCATTGGAGCCGCCGCAGTCGCAAAACAAAAGCAGCCAACATCAGTGGATCGCTGCAGTCCAGCGGTTTTCTTCATGCACTTTTTTTACCTGGCCCTTTTCTTCTGGATGTTAATTTCAGCGCTGTTGCTCTTTTACCGTACAGTCATGGTCTTGTCCCAAATGTCAAGGGCCAGAATGATGGCCATTGCCTTCATAGTCGGTTATGGTGCACCTTTGCTCATAGCGGTCATTACTGTTGCGTCGACAGCTGGACCTCAGAAATATATCACGAAACAATTAGCATGCTGGCTGAACTGGGATGAGTCTAAGGCCCTGCTGGCATTTGTGATTCCAGCTCTCACTATTGTAGCCATAAACCTTGTGGTTTTGATTGTGGTTCTGTATAAGATGTTGAGGAGAGGAGTTGGTGCCACAACTCAACCGGATGAGAAACATGCCCTGGTGGTCATTGCCCGATGTGTGGCCATATTGACTCCTATCTTTGGTCTAACATGGGCATTTGGAATTGGAACCATGGTGTCCCGTGAAGTAGGCTTTCATGTGGTGTTTACAATCCTCAATTCACTGCAGGTATCACTTTCTGTCTCTATATTTAAAAATATATATATTTCAATGCAATTTTTATCTATATTCAACTATAACAACATTCTACTGTAATACTGCACATTGATCTATTCTAAATGTCTGTACTTTTATGAATTTCATTTGTATTTTCATTTGTAACACTTCCTTTAATAGGGATTATTTATTTTGATATTTGGAACGCTTATAGACAGGAAGGTAAGTACGAGTTTACTCCTGTTGCTTTGTAAAGAGTTTAGGTAAAGCCACTTAATTATTTTTTTAATACTGGCCTAGGTTTATTTACTGTTTTTATCCTGCTCATTACATGGCTGCCCACCAAATACGTGAACATGAAATATTGATTTGATTTGAAATTTTATCTATACTATATATTTTATCTGTATAAAGAAATATGAAACACACATAACTGCTGAAATATTCGCAGGGAGAGAGTTTCTCAGGTCAGTCGGAGCTCTCTCTGTGAATATTTTAGCAGTTATGTGTGTTCCGTATTTCTTTTGATTGAACCATGGATGGCAATCATTAGAGAATTAATCACCCCTTTGAGTCAGTTCTTTCTTTTCAGTGAATTGGGCAAACAGGTTTCCGATACCGTCTGAATCAATTCACATTTGTCCAAACGGCTCTCTCAACAATCACCTGAAATGGCTTTTCAGTCAGTAACAGACAGTTCTGAGATAGCCAACTTAAGAACACAAACAGCACTTGATGAAGTAGATATTCACTAACTAACACTTGAAAACAAAAGGCTACCTTTTGAGAGGTTACTCTCAATTTACGACCATTCACACCGAAAGTGTTTTTGTGTCTGCCTGCACTGTTTTTACTTGTTTTCTTATGTGAACATGCATTAGATGGATGTCTTAACTAAGTAACTAACTAACAAAAAAAAAAAAAAATGCTGTCGTGTTTAAAACATTGAAAGTCAGCATTAAACAGAACATCACTTAAACAGAGTCACTTCACACATTTTCTCGGATCAGATGGCTACTTTAAATCCAGTCACTGAAACCACTTCAGGAGGTGGTTTGAGACACATTTTAAATTAAACTGTAAATGCATCAAGTTGTAGCCATGTAAATTTTACTCCTCCCAAAATGGTAAAAAAAATAAATGTATGAGTGCGTGTTATCAGGAAATACCTGTCCATTGGTACACCACCCACTTCAGATATTTCCTGATATTCATCATCAATTAAATCGATTAAATCAAATCAGAAACCAACATTCTGTGTAATTAGCAGACAATTTCAACACATTTCTGAACGTTAACCAGAGATCTTTGATTGCAGGTTCGTGAGTTGCTACAAAGAAAGCTGTCACTACAGAAACTTAGTACCAGCCATACCAATGTAAATGCTATTCTATAATAGTACATCCTAAAAGCACATGTGCTCTATAGGACTTTAACTAATGTTCAACTTCTAACCAGTTCATATATACACTTTTACATTGACTCTATGTGATTTATTTGTATTTATATCACCTCACAGAGCACCAGTGCGGGATCATCATCCACACCTCGACTCAATTTCTTGCCATGGATCCGGCGGAGGAGTAAGTAGATGACATACATCTAAAAACAAACATTTATTAATATATAATGAGAATTATAATAGAATTAAGAATTTTAATAATGAGAATATAGTTATTATTCATGAGTTATATTTATCATTTAGATAAATGTCTGATTAATGAATTAATGCAAAGACAATAGATGTGAGTAACATACATTTACTATTTGCAGAAGCGTACAACGTGTCTGAAGCCAACACTTCCTCAGCAGTTACAGACCGCTCCAACAGCTCATATGCCATTTTGAACACTTAAAACACACTCCAAAAGTGTTTCCTATACTGCAATGTCTGTTAGTATTTGGTGTAAGAAATGTTTCTAAGTTCTGATATGACAGAAATAAGGTTACAATATGACTTTATACTGTATTGTATATTATACAGTGGTTAAGGGTGTAGACTTGTATGTATACTTGAAAAATGGGGTATTTTTATCAGACATTTTAAATGAGACATTGTTGTCCAGTTACATAACATCCTATTTTCTGCCCTGTTTTAATAAATTCCGCATGTTCCCAAAATGATTAGGGGAGAGCGGGGCACAACCTAACACATTTTGGTTTTGGCTCAATTATTAAAAAAATTATTAAGTTAGATTCAACTTTTTTTTTTTACACAAGCAACATACACATCTCTGCTACAAATGAACACTTAAAGTTTTTTTCTTTGGACCTAACATTTCTGTACTGTTGCACTGAAAGTGACAGAAGTGCAAATGTTACAACTTACCCCATATGCAGGGTTAATTGTAACAGACAGAGGGGTTAGTTGTAACACTTGTGTGTAACACACATAATTCAGTACTATTTTATTTGTATAGTTTGATATTGTTTGTGCATCTGTATAGATAGATATACATACATCCATCCCTCATCCAATCATCCTTCTATTGGATCAATATCATGGATAGAAAAGGGCTGCACAGTTTTGCAACAAATAAATAAAAAGATAAAATATTGTAATTGCAATTGAATTAGATTTGTGTGTGGCAGCTGCATGTAGAAATATTATTATTAATAATAATAACAGTAAATATAATACAAATGAGCTTAAAATCAAAATTTAAAGGGTTTATTGCATTAAAAACAGGCCATATTTTTAATTAATAAACAAGTGATCAATGCATAGTAAACTAAATTTTAAACATTTTAAATTCCAACATTGTTTGTGAAAGTCCAACAAAGTTAAATGTATAAATAAATACTCAAACCTGAAAAGTTGTGTGGCTCCCTGTTTTCATTTGATTATCATTGTACACTTGGCGGCTTAGTTGTAACACTGTGCTACAACTAACCCCGCTGTGTAAAACATATTTTAAGCCTAGCTAACAGTTGCTAGGAGTTGCTGACATGTTTTAAAACGGTGCTGTTTTAGCAAACAAGACAGTGATTAACCCTTTAAGGTACGCACCATGAAAAAAGCAAAGGAAAAATTATTTCTTTGCATTTTTTATTCAATTATGATAACAATAACAACAATCAAAATTTTTTTTTTAATTAGACCCTACAGTATTTTAGATACAATCCTCTACCAAACGGTTGAGACGTCTGATCATAATAAAAGAACAACATTCAGAACAAGTAATATTAAGTGCATTTTCTTGATCAATAAAAAAATCTGATGGCTGCTATTGATGGCTCTTACAATGCTAGTCATATAGTAATACACAAACATAGTCAATTTTAAATTATGAAATTAATAGTAACACCAGAATTGGTATTAATTCTTCAAATGTATTCTTGATATTTACCATAATACAGTACAGAAATGGTGAAAAAATGATATTGATCAAATATTTTTCATCAAATATGTAATTGAATAATATTCAAATGAATCATTTTAACAACACTAACCCTTTTGTTCATTGTAAATGGCTAATTTTACCAACATTAGCTAATTTTATTAGCTAATTTTTACTACCTTAAAAGGACAACTCAACCGTTTGGTAGAGCATGTTTTAAAAAAATTATTTGACCCTTATAAGACTTATTTTTGTTTAATTAAGTTACATAATTCTGTTTAACAACTCCTCTGAAACGATAATATGTCAACCAGTCTTACCTTTAAAAGTCCCGCCGATATGCGTCATCAAAGGAGGAGCAAATTTTCGCTGTGTCATGTGCTGTTTGAAGCAGAGCCATATAGAGAGAAAGTTGCGACAATGAACATGTAAATAGTAAAACGATTGACATTGAAAAATGACACTGAATGATTAAAATATTTAATCCAAATAAATAAATGTTCGTGGTTCGTACTGATGTTATTCATCTGTTCTCACACATTTCAGCGTCGCGGTCACTAGTTTAGGCGAACACTGACACCCTGTGGTGAAATAATGGCGTATTTTTAACAGCCGCAGCTTTCTCAGATTGGCTTGGTTTGGATTAAACTTCATGTTCCGATGAGTTTGGAAAATTCTGCACACAGTAAACATCAGATCATCCCTTCTTCTGTCAATAAAAAAGTCCAAAATATAAAATATTATTATAGACACTTTTTTTAGTTGGCGTTTGTTCAACTCATTGACCACAGTACATTGAAACAAAGTCCTTTTAGGCAAGTCATGCCACTCGGCCGCCATCTTGGCAACGCCTCAGGGCAGCTATTTCAGACTAACAAGACCAGGCTCCTATCTAAATGAATGGGCAGAGACCCAGAACTGCACTTTCACTGGTCACCGGGACATAAAAACTGCATGTATACAAACACTAATAAAATATGATAAAAATCGCTGAAAAAGTGTGATGACTTTGCCCCAAAATAAGGTTTAAAACGCCTTTTTAAAAAACCTTTAAACTGGCTATGATAAAACCGCTTGTTAAAAAAACACAACTTGATCCTACAGAATTAGTCAATTACAGGCCGATCTCGAATCTGCCTTTTCTGTCAAAGAAAATAGAAAAAGCAGTATCTTCACAACTATGTTCCTTTCTAGAAAGAAATGATATCTGCGAGGATTTTCAGTCCGGATTTAGACCGTACCATAGCACTGAGACAGCTCTCATCAGAGTCACAAATGATTTGCTCTTATCATCCGATCGTGGTTGTATCTCTCTATTAGTGTTACTCGATCTTAGTGCTGCATTTGACACCATTGACCACAACATTCTTTTAAATAGACTCGAAAATTATGTTGGCATTAGTGGAATTGCATTAGCATGGTTTAAATCATACTTAACTGACCGTTATCAGTTTGTAGCAGTAAATGAAGAGATGTCTTATCAATCACAAGTTCAGTATGGCGTACCACAAGGCTCAGTACTAGGACCGCTGCTGTTCACTCTGTACATGCTACCATTAGGAGATATCATTAGGAAACATGGAGTTAGCTTTCACTGTTATGCCGATGATACTCAGCTGTATATTTCTTCAAAACCCAACGAAACTTACCAATTCACAAAATTAACGGAATGCATAGCTGATATAAAAAATTGGATGACTAGTAATTTCCTACTACTAAATTCTGAAAAGACAGAGATTCTAATTATTGGACAAAAAACTTCCACACGTAATAACTCAGAATACTGTCTAACACTTGATGGCTGCTCTGTCAAGTCTTCGTCGTCGGTTAGGAACCTGGGTGTGCTATTTGATACCAACCTTTCTTTTGAAAGCCACATGTCTAGTATCTGTAAAACTGCATTTTTCCATCTTAAAAATATATCTAAAATACGCCATATGCTCTCATTGGGAAATGCGGAACAATTAGTCCATGCGTTCATGACCTCAAGGCTAGATTATTGTAATGCTCTACTGGGTGGTTTCCCTGCACGCTTAATAAACAAACTACAGCTAGTTCAAAACGCCGCAGCTCTAGTTATTACCAGAACCAGGAAATATGACCATATTAGCCCGGTTCTGTCAACAGTGCATTGGCTCCCTATTAAACATCGTATAAATTTTAAAATATTGTTGATTACCTACAAAGCACTAAATGGTTTAGCTCCGCAGTACTTGAGCGAGCTCTTAACGCATTATAGTCCTTCACGTCTATTGCGATCTCAAAATTCCGGCCAGTTGATAATACCTAGAATATCTAAATCGACTGCAGGCGGTAGATCCTTTTCCTATTTAGCACCAAAACTTTGGAACAGTCTAGTTCCTACCATTGTCCGGGAAGCAGACACACTCTGTCAGTTCAAAGCTAGACTAAAAACACATCTCTTTGACCTAGCATACACATAATACATTATAGACTTCTATAAATTCAATGTTAGGCTGCATAGATTAGGTCAGCCGGAACTGGGAACACTTCCCTTAAATCTTGATGTACTCGCTACATCATAAGAAGAATGGCATCTACGCTAATATTAGTGTCTTTGTTTATCCAGAGGTTTTCCCGCAGCCTGCCGGATCCAGGCAGTGTCCAGATCTTACGAGGGAGCTTTGTCTGGACCCGATGACAATGCAGTGCTGAAGTATCCACTATCCTCTCCCTATGGAGGATCCCTTTCCCACTCTACAGATAAAGCGTTGTGAATTCCGGCTCGCGTACCCCGAAGTGATAAAATAAAACAAAATTCTGTATCAAAATTTATAGGCAAGAAAAGTAGTTTGTTTAGGCTGGGTTGTATGAATTACAAACCTGCGCACATATTTTAGAAAGCTCATAACTATAGAATTCTGAATGAGCATGTGAACGCCGTCAGCGTTAATCACAGGTTCGCGTTTAAAGTCTGATCATTTCGACGGAGGTGAATCAATCAAAGTTAACTTTAGCGGGAAGTAACATTATTCAAGAACCGCTATAACGCCAAAACAATCTGTTACCTTAAATGATATGTTTATCTCTGTAAAGCTGCTTTGAAACAATCCATTGTTAAAAGCGCTATATAAATGAAGATGACTTGACTTGACTTGACTTGACTTTTCCCCCACAGGTTATACTTTTACTGCGCATGCGCAAGGGTTCTCTCGCTCTCTGTCGTGCGCGCGCTACTGCTCGCTCGCTCTAGATTCCGGGAGATTTGAACTAATTTGCGGTCATCAGGGAGCCGCTATCAATCTGCGGGAGACTCCCGGAACTTCCGGGAGACTTGGGATGTCTGATATTTACACAACTAACACATCAAATCTGCCGCCTTTTCAAACAGTAACATATTTTCCGCTGTCGCAAACCTCAACTGTGCGCATGCGTCGGTGGAACCAGACGATAGGCTTAAATGTTTTCCGGCTTGACTGTTAAAAGCAGACGATTGGCTTTCCAGCGGGAGGGGCGGGGCATGTGCATACAACCGCCATCTTTGGCGTTACGGGTTTTCCCTATATAGTTGTATTAAGGATTGGGGAAGTGGCATGTCTCTATATAAATAGTCTCTGATTGAAAGTAAACATAACCGGAAATAAGTGATATGTATTGTTTCCAAACGGAAGTGCGTCACGAAGTTCAGTGCAAGTGGTCCATAGGCTACAAAGTTAAAGTATAGCCT